AACGTGGCACATAGGAGGTGCTCAGATAATGCGTGCCATGAGCCAAGCCCTGTGGAGAATAATCCAGATAAGGCCCTGCTGTCAAGTTCATGCTGTGCCTCCTTTTCCTTGGATGTCGTGGGAATAGGGAGCCATGGAGGGTTTGGGAGGCAGACAAAGAATTTCCTAGGCTACTGCCCAGAGCAACTCCCCCATCCCCGACCAGAGCTTGCAGCTGCCGCTGCCTCCCCAGGCCTCCCCAAGTCCCCAATAAGGCTGGCCCAGAACAGGAATAGAGCAGCCCACGGCTTCTGTGAGGACAGAGTGGGTGGCTGCAGCTAAACCTGGCTTGGCAGGTGGCTCCCTGGGGCGGGGCAGAGCCTCAGCTTGGGGTAGGGACTAGGGGCAGGACACTTGGGTTTCTGGGCTTCCCTGGCTCTGCCTCACTCTGTGGTGGCCTCAGGAGGGGGTCAGAGCCTCACTGAGCCTCTGTAACCTCCAGGAGAAGCTGGCTGCCCTGGGTGTGAAGACACACAAGCTCTGATAAACATAGTACAGCCAATGTATATATAGACCCTCCCACCTGGTTTCCAAAAGGATTTGCAACAGCTTTCACAAAAGGCGAAGAAATGAGCATTGAGAGTGAGCCAGGGTTTACACATGGGCCCCTCACGTCACAGGCCTGGGGAACTAGAACAGGGACAAGAAGATGGAGTCCAGATCCCTCCAGGAATCGTGTCTGTATGTGAGTGAGCTCCCCATCAGGGCGGGTATGCAAGCAGAGGCCGGCAGGCCTTGGTGGGGGTGTGGTCGAGGGGATTGGTGCATCAGGGAGAGGTGCGGTCAGATGTCAAGCCCCTGTTGGAAGATGAGGTGACTGATCCTGCCTGCCCACCATGGCCCCTGCCCACAAGGAAACCAGGATGAGATAATGCCGGTGTTGGGGGCCTGTATTCATCTGTTTCATTGTTGCTCTAACAAAATACCACAAACTGGATGATTTCTTCTTTTTTCTTTTTTTGAATGGAGACAGGGTCTCAATCTGTCAGCCAGGCTGGTGTGCAGTGGCAATCACCGCTCAATGCAGCCTCGATCTCCTGGGCTCAAGCAATCCTTCCACTTCAGCTCCTGCAGTAGCTGGGACTGCAGACAGCCACCACCATACCTGGCTTTTTTGTAAGGATGGGGTGTTGCTATGTTGCCCCAGCTGGTCTTGAGCTCCTGGCCTCAAGCGATCCTCCCGCCTTGGCCTCCCAAAGTGCTGGGATTACAAGTGTGAGCCATGTGCCCAGCCCAGACTGGGTACTTTCTAAACAACAGAAATTTCTCAGGGTTCTGGAGGCTGGGAAGTCAAGATCCAGGCCGGCATCTAACAAGGACTTCCTGCTGTGTCCTCCCATGGCAGAAGGAAGGCGGAAAGGCAAGAGAGTGCTGGAAGCAGCCGGGGAGGGCAAAACGCCCTTTTATTACAACCAACCGCCTGGGTAACTAACCCACTGGGAGATGGCTGGCGGTTTTCATCCATTCGGCAGGGCGGACCCCCAGGACCTAATCCCGCTGTGAAGCCCCACCTCCCAACACAGCAGCTTGGGGGACACATTCCATCCTGCTGGCCCCTGACCATTCCCTGGGGGAAGAGGGAGTTGACCACTGTTTCGGGGCTGCTGGAGCCTGAGCCGCCAGATGGGCAGCACGGGCCTCCTTGGGACCTGCCGTCAGAAGCAGAGCTCGGCTCTGAGGGAGGGCATGGGAGCGGGAGCGAAGCCCGGACGACGCTAACCCCCGGCATGAGTGCTGCCTGCTGTCTGGCCTGAAGCTCCTGCCTTCCCTTCTCTGAGGTGCAGAGTCCTCAGCCAGCACAAGGCGTGAATCGGCTCGCTTCTAGACAGCCTTCCCAGGGCGGACCCCTGGAATAAACAGAACGGCAACACTGCCCCCAGACCACCTCCCGCCTAGCTCTGCTGCCTGCTGTCTGCGCTGAGCCTTGGGGCAGCCTTCCTGCACCTGCCTTGTCTGCTGTGAGCAAGGCCGGCTCCTCCTGATCTTGCGGGGGAGGCGGTCAGCGGAGCAAGAATGAAAATAAATAAATGTGAAGAAAGTGCGGCAGGACAAGGGTGGTCAGGGAGGCATCTGAGCAGACCCCTGAGCGGGAGCACATCCGGGGAAGAGCGTTGCGGGCGGATAACAAGACGGCCCGTGCAGAGGCCCTGCGCCGCCAGGCTCGGGGTGAAGCGCAGGGAGCCAGGCTCAGGGTACAGGGGAGGCAGGGGCGGGCGCCCAAGGTGGGGCACTATGGACCATGAAGAGGCCCCCACCGAAGACGGGAGCTGCAGCAGGGATCTGGAGGAGAGGCTTCCCGCCCTGGCCTCTAGAAGGGAAATCGTCAAATCCTCCCTCCACAGCCTCGCTGCTCCTGAGCAGGCCTGTCTGCTGTGTTTTCTTTTTCCTTTTTTTTTTTTTCTTTTTTTTTTTTTTGAGAAGGAGTGTCACTCTGCCACCCAGGCTGGAGTGTAGCCGTGCGATCTCAGCTCACTGCAACCTCTGCCTCCCAGGTTCAAGCGATTCTCCTGCCTCAGCCTCACAGATAGCTTGGATTACAGACGTGCGCCGCCACGCCCGTCTAATTTTTGTATTTTTTTTAAGTAGAGACGCAGTTTCACCATCTTGGCCAGGCTGGTCTCGAACTCCCGACCTCAGGTGATCCACCTACCTTGGCCTCCCAAAGTGCTGGATTACAGGCGTGAGCCAACACGCCCGGCCTGTCTGCTGCATTTTTAATGCTGCCTGATGAGGAGGCTCTCACGGCTGTAATTGAACAGAAAGTCCACATGCCTCTGCCATCTCCGGGTCCAGAGACTCATTAACCCCGGGCCTGGAAGAGGCGCCTGCCCGGACCCTGCTGCCTGACAGGAAATGCGGGCGTCCGGCCTCGGGGGAGGGGGGGCCCGGCCGCTCCCCATCCCCATTCCCCTACTTCAGGGCCAGGGAACAGGGGAGAGGGGCCCTGCCGCTTGAGACCTCCACGGAGGCCCTGGGTAGTATAAACTGTCAAGGGCCTGGGCTTCGTAAATGTTAGTGAACTGTACACTGGCTTCCCCACTCTGATGGCTGGACACGCTCTGTAAAAGCCAAAGTGTCCCATAAATGGCAAGGGAACTGGAAACGACTGGGGCTGCACTCGTGCGTGGAGGCGCCTGCTCTCTGTGAAGGGCTGTAGGCGTCCAGCCAGGCCTGCGAGCCGCGAGCTGCGCGGTGAGCTGCTGGGCGCTGGGTAACCTCAGGGGCGCGCATGGTAAATCGCTAGGCTTTGGGTCTGCTGCTCTCTGCAGGCTGCAGAGTCCCCAGAAGCCCCGAGGGCCGGGCCGGGGGGTGTACACGGGTAGGACAGCCACGGAGGCCGAGAACTGGGCTGACGCGTGGCAAGCCCGCGGCCTCCAACCGCGCCGAGGACACACGAGGACGCGGACCGGCGCTCGGGGCCGGGCGGGGCTCCAGGGCACGCTGTTGAAGCCGAGCTCTATCGCCCCCTGGCGGCTACAGGAGACGGAACCTGGGGCCGCGCCCCACCAAGGGATTCATTCCCTTCCTCCCCCCTTCCCTCCCTCCCTCATTCATTCTTTCATGTGTTCATTCAGCAGAAGCCGAGCGCTCCCTCGGTGTCGGCAGCATTCTCAGTGCTGACGACACAACAGTGACAAATCAGGTCTCGGCCTGGATAACCCAGGATAATGAGCTAGACTGGCTGGGCCTGGTGGGTGGAGGCTATTTGAGCCAGGGTGGTCCTGGAAGACGCCGCTGAGGAGGTGACATGGGAGACCCGGATGGGATTGTGGGGAGCCAGTCACAGGAAGACGGGGGAGGGGGTGTTCTACGCAGAGTGGACAGTCAGTGCAAAGGTCCTGGGGTGAGAACAAGTCTTCACGATTGAAGGATGGAGGGAGGGAGACAACAGCTCCCAGGAATTATTAGCCCCTGTGCCAGGGAAGGGTTAGAGGGCAGAGACCTGACCCAGACTGGGACTGGAGGACAGGAGGAGTGCGGCAGGACAAGGGTGAGACAGACCCCATGGGGACCCTCCTCCTGGGAACACACCCTAAGCTTCCTCAGAGGACCACAGAGGCCCTGCTCTCAGACCTTGAGCCGTAGTGCGCTGAGTCCCTCATGCCTGCCCTGACCTGAGCCGTCACACCCACCCTCCTGGCGTGGGGATGAATCCGACTCCTTCCCAGCTGGTAAGAGCCAGTCCTGGGACTTTGGGGTACCCTGGGCACGGTGTGCTGAGCTCTTGGAGTCCCTGGGTCCTGACTGGTCCCCATGAGGAGGTGAACCTGAGACTGATGAACAGCCAAGGTGGACGCAAGTCCTTCAGGCCATCAGCTGAACTTCGAACCCAACGGTACCTGCAGCTGAGCACACCCTGCTTACGTGAGCAAATTCGCTGCTGCCCCGGCCATGCTGCCAGTGTCACAGGGCCAGACTGCAAGGGCGCCTTCATCAGGCTGCCCCCACTCCCCTCGGAGCCTTCTGCGGAGCCCACCACCTGTCCCCAAGTCTGTTTTTCTCTTATAAGCTGTGTGGCTTTGGGCAAGTGATGTCAGCTCCCTGGGTCTGTTTTCCCATCTGTAAACTGGAGGTCACGTAACCTCCATGAGGTCACTGTGTCCAGCCCAGGCACAGTGTCCGGGGTGCTCGCCACTCTGTGCACCTGGCTGTCATCACTACTCCAGGACAGTGGGATGGGTGGCCGCCACCAGCGGGCTGGGCCTGTGTGTTCGCTGCTCTGTCCAGCGTCAGTACAGGGCCTGGTGCCTGGATGATCACAGGATGTTACCTCGTCACAGCCCTCTGGGGGCCTCTGTGTCCTCAGATGTATAAGGGCCTGATGGGTCGGCAACCCTCCTTCCCCTAAGCACGACACCCTGGCCCTGGCCCAGAGGCAAGGGTCCCTCGAGGGGCCACAACCTTCCCCAAGTAAGAGGGGGGCTCGCAGGTGTCTCATGGAGTCTCACACAACCTTTAATCCTTTTTTTTTTTTTTTTTAATTAAAACAGCAACCAGGTAACTGCCCCAACCCATCAGGGAAAGGACCTAGGATGGGCAGTCGTTTTTTCAAAAAAATATATTTTCTTTTTTTAAAAACAACACCAAAGCAAACCCATAGCCCCCGTTGAGCCAGTCCTCAGGGAGAGTGGGCGGGAAGGCTCCCCCTGCACTTCTCTGAGCAGAGATCTTGGGCCCCTCCCACTGGACCCCAGCCTGAGCAGAGGGCGAGGCTGATACCCTAGGGGGTGGGGGAGAAGCGATCAGATCCAAACCATGCAAGAAAAACAAGCCAAACCCATAAAGCAAAAGAAAAAATCAACAGAGGATAAATTAAAAAAAAAAAACGAAAAGGTGAATGACACCGATTAGGGTGGCAGGCAGGACTGGGTGACCCAGTGTGCCCCGCAGAGGCCCCGTTCGCCAGTGCCAGCGGAAGGCCTTGGGCGGCTCACGGCATCTCCCTCATGGGAGTCTTGGGGGATTCACACAGCTCATCCCCTCTTGTGTACCCCGCACCAAAGCCGGGATAGAGGTGTGGCCACCCTGGGCCAAAGTGTGCAAAGTCCATTCAGTCAAGAGATTAAAAAAATATACAACTTGGGTGGCATCCAGGCTGGGCAAGGCAGTGGCCCATCCACCCAGGCACCAGCGGCCTGCTGTGCAAGGGGCAGCAGCATCCACAGGGGGCATCCAGGCCCCCTCAGTCCAGGATCTCAGCAGCTGGAGACGGGTCCTTGGAGCAGCAGGGAGAGGCACTGGTGGGGCCGACAAGGGCCTGGCTGGCAGCCCCGATGGTCTGCTTCTTTGGCACTTGGGACAAATGGCTCGCTGCAGAGTCAGGTGGGAGCAGGCCCCTCGGTTCCTCCCAGGTGCCCTGGGCCAGGATGGCAGTAGCTTATGGTGTGGGTGAGCACTGCCCCCGCAGATGGGGCTGTGGGGCTGTGGGGCTCTGGAGGGCCGGAGTGGGGTCCGAGGCCCAGCCCCTATGAGTCTTCGCCCAGGATCTCCTTCACGAAGGCAGCGATGTCTGTCTTCTTGGTTTTGTGCAAGGTGAAGAAGGGGTGCTCCTGGGGGTGACAGAAGGCACAGTCACCATGGAGGGGGTAGCGGGAGGGGGAGGTGGCCACTCCTCCCCAACCAGCTCCAGCCCAAGTGTTCCTCCTGACTGGCAAAATCCTACTCATCCTTCTAGGACCTCCACCCCCAGGAGGCCCTCCATGACAGTCACGATGGCATTTGTGGCTCCTCCTCAGCTCTCTTGTGGTCACTCTCCAGCCACACCGACCTCCCTTTTCCCCGACACGTCAGGCCTCTGCCCATGCTGGACCTTCTGCTCGGGACAGCCTCTCTGTCAGCAGATAACCCTTATTCATCCTTCCAGGCTCAGTTCAAATGGTACCTCCTCCATGAAGCCTTCCCTGATGCCACCCGTGGCCCCTCTGCCCCATTCTGTCACACACTGCCTGTGTATCCTTCCCAGGGCCTGGCATGCAGGAAGGAGGGAGGAGGGAGCCAGGTATGCAGGAGCAAACAAATGACCGAGCACCTAAAGGAGTGAACACAGGGCCAGCCGGAGGAGCTACCCATCTGTGTGCAGGACGTAGCCCTCTGCCCAGAGCCCCACCCAGCCCCAGCCAGCCCCGAAGAGCAAGGCAGGCACCTCCCGCCCATACTCACCATCAGCTCCAGGTAGCTCATACGCTCTGCGGGGTTCTTCCTCAGGCTAGGAGAGAAGAGGGCAGCTGTGGCCAGGCTGGCAGGGAGGAAGGAAGCCCAGCCCCCGAGGGCCAGCCAAGCCACTCTGGGATTGCCCCAGGCCTGGCAGCAGGGGACATGTGCACCCAGGGAAGAAGGGACAGGAGTGTCCAGGGCTTCTCCCAGGGTGGAGGGGCATTCATAGGGCCAAACTAGAGATTCGCAGCAAGTTTCTCTGGCTCTTGGGGTCCTGGTTTTCTTGTCTCCATAGTGACCTAGGAATTTCCATATCAACACCAAAATGGGACTGCAATGTTCTGCCTAACAAGCATACACTCGGTATCCTCGGTCAGGAGAGAAAACTCCTTATCATGGGTTCTGGGAGAGGTTAATCCCCAGTTAAAGGGGTCAGACTGCCCAGGGACACTGCTGGGCTCCTCTGTTGCTGATTATGGTCAACAACAAAAGTGCTGGGACCATGGGTGTGAGCCACCGCACCCGGCCGCTTCTTCCTTACCCGTTTCTCGCTCTGTTTAATTATGGTCAGAGAAGTTGGTCTGTATGGCTTTGCCTTCTTCCTTATTCCCTCTGTAACCTCAAACATGATTTTTTTTTTTTTTTTTTTTAAGAGAGAATCTCGCTCTGTCGCCCATGCTGGAGTGCAGTCGCATGATCTCTGCTCAGGCTCACTGCAACCTCTGGCTCCTGGGTTCAAGCGATTCTCGTGCTTCAGCCTCCTGAGTAGCTGGGATTACAGGCGTACACCACCAGGCCTGGCTAATTTTTCTATTTTTAGTAGAGACAGGGTTTCCCCATGTTGATCAGGCTGGTCTCCAACTCCTGACCTTGTAATCCGCCCGCCTCAGCCTCCCAAAGTGCTGGGACTACAGGCGTGAGCCACCGCACCCAGCCTCTCAAACATGATTTTTATAAGGCTCCTGTGGGGCATTCTTTAATTTGGTACAAAGTTCTAGACATCAATAAAAGCAAACTTGTTTTTTGTGTTCAAATCTTCCATACACTTTGTTCTCTTTTCAGTCTGTCTGATTTGTCCACTTCTGGAAGAACTATATTAAAATCTCCCACCGGGACCATCGTTTTGTCAAATGCGCCTCATGCTCCAGCTGTTTCTGCCTTACATATTTCGATGCCATGTCATCTGGGGGTTTATTTGCTAAACCAAAAAGGAGCAGGGCCCAGGAAGGTGCAGGGATCTGGCCAGGGAGGGGCAGTGACAGGTGCTCAGCAGCGCCCAAGACTCACCACTGAGCAGTGAAGTCCACAAACTCGGGGGAGAAACGGTCGGCTGGGAGCTGGGGGGACGGCTCCTCCACCACCTGCTTCAGCTGCTGGAACGGGGTCCCCCAGGACTCGTAAGGGAACCGTAGGATGGCCATCTCAATCTGCAGCGGTGACAGGGGGGGGGTCAGAGGCCCTGGCCCCAGATACACCCACGCTCTGCACCCAGGAGCCAGGGTTGGGGGCTCCCACCCATCCTGGTCCCGGAGCCAGGCCTCAAAGCTGCACAGCTCATCTCCCTATCACAGCCCAGCAGGACAAAGGCAAGAAAGCTCTTAGCTCCTCCGACCCAGCCAGCAGGATCCAGCTCAGGAAGCAGACCCGGCCGACGCCGGGACTGGTGGGACCATCACTGGGTTTTCAGACAACCTGAATTCTGAAGATTTTACAAAACAATGCAGGTTCCAGCTGCTCTGGAAAAATCTGAGGAGGTGGCAACCTCGGGCCGCAGCCTCATGAGCCAGGTGGGCAGGTCCCAGGTGGTCAGAGCCATTCCCCGCCCTAACATTTGACCATCTCAGACTTCAGCATCTGCTGTCATTTATTTGGGCTGCTGTTTTCACAGAGGAGGCACACGGGAAATGCTACACACACACACACATACACACACACACACACACACACACACGGCTGTCCCCAAGGCCACAGACAGACTGTGAGACCATAAGGTTGCTTCGCCTCTGCACCCGTGAGCCTGCAGCCTCATCTTCTGCAGGGCCCCGGCAGTTTCCCTCCTAGACAAGTGGCCTGTGTGGCCACATGTGCCCTGCTGGATCCGGATTTCCTGTGGGTGACATTGGGCCGGTGGGTCTCTGTACTCGCTCCAAGCTCCCAGCCCTGTGTCCTCCCTGTGGTTGGCAAGAAGTCATCATGGAAGGGACGGACTAGCTAGGACTAGTCTGGGCTCCAGTCGTGACGACTGGATGGAAAAAACAAGTCATGTCAGCCCTGGCTCCAGCCTGGAAGAACAGAGAATTCCGAGGCTCCAGCACAAGGGCCCTCGCTGATGGCCGTCCTCACCATGATGAACGGAAGAGACCTCAGCACAAACGCTTGGCGCTGGCAACTGGAGCCTGGACAGGACCCTAAGGACTGTGCTGAGAACGTGCCTCCCATCAAGCTAGAGGCCCTTTCCAGCTCGGACACAAACATATCCACACAGGCAGGGCCCACTGTGTGTGTGTGCGTGTGTACACGTGTGTTCACAGGACAAAACCGTACCGATTTGGGGGGCTTTTCTCTTAGAATTTTCACTGACTGCAATATGTAGAGCAAGGACCCCACATGAGCTGCAGGAGAAGGGCCAGTGGCCATGAGAGTTATAATTAGAAAACCAGAAGTGTCCAAATCCTCAACCTCGTACTCCTTTATTTTTTCTAAAGAGCTCAAAAATACCTGGGCGCCGTGGCTCACGACTGTAATCCCAGCACTTTGGGAGGCTGAGGCAGGCAAATCACAAGGTCAGGAGTTCAAGACCAGCCTGGCCAACATGGTGAAACCCCGTCTCTACTAAAAATACAAAAAATTAGCCGGGCATAGTGGAGGGCACCTGTAATCTCAGCCACTCCGGAGGCTGAGGCAGGAGAATAGCTTGAACCTGGGATGTGGAGGTTGCAGTGAGCCAAGATCACTCCACTGCACTCTAGCCTGGGCGACAGAACAAGACTCCGTCTCAAAAAAAGCTCAAAAAATGAAAAACAACAAAAATAGCCTCCGGGCACAAAGATGTGCCATATGGTGTTATCTGCCAGGAAATGTTTAGAAGCAGCCTGAATGTCCAGCACCGGGGGGGCCCCACTGTGGGGGCGGAGACCCAGCCAGGACCGTAGTCTCACCCCTGTGACTCCCCAGCGACAACACTAACAGGCCAGCACCCAGTCAGCACTCGCTCCTGGCCAAGGGCCATCCCTGGCATGACCCCTGTCTGTTCTGGGTGATTCCCACTGGCATCCTGAGGCTTGTGTAGTGAGTGGGAAAAAGCCAATGCCAAGAGAGCGCTGGGGCCCTTGCAGGATGGGGTGAGGCTGAGACCAGGGTCCCACCCAGGGTGACTCTCCCGACTCTGTTTCACCAGTCACTTCCCCAGGATGGCCAAGAATTTCAAATGGAAGGAAAACATCAGGAACAAGGGAAACATCCCACATCAGCAGACAGGGTGAGTGAATGGTGGCAGATGCTTATGGAGTCTTTGGAAGAGATACATACAGGAGTCTATTACAATTTAGAGAAATTGGCCAGGTGCGGTGGCTCACACCTGTAATCCAAGCACTTTGGGAGGCCGAGACGGGCAGATCACATGAGGTCGGGGGTTCGAGACCAGCCTGACCAACATGGAGAAACCCCGTCTCTACTAAAAATACAAAATTAGCCAGATGTGGTGGTGCACGCCTGTAATCCCAGCTACTTGGGAGGCTGAGTGAGGCAGGAGAATCACTTGAATCTGGGAAGCAGAGGTTGTGGTGAGCCGAGATTGCACCATTGCACCCCAGCCTGGGCAACAAGAGCAAAACTACGTCTGAGAAAAAAAAAAAAAAAAAACAGAGAGAGAGAAAAATATGAACAATATGTAATGCTATAAAATTAAAATAAAAAAGCTTTTTAGAAAGAAGCATTACGAGGCTGGGCGCAGTGGCTCACACCTGTAATCCCAGCACTTCGGGAGGCTAAGGTGGGTGGATCAGAATCAGGAGTTTGAGACTCGCCTGGCCAACATGGTGAAACCCCATCTCTACTAAAAATACAAAAATGAGCCGGGCATAGTGGCACACGCCTGTAGTCCCAGCTACTCGGGAGCCTGAGGCAGGAGAATAACTTGAACCTGGGAGGCGGAGGTTGCAGTAAGCCAAGATCACACCACTGCACTCCAGTGTGGGCAACAGAGCGAGACTCTGTTTCAATAACAACAAAAAAGAGAAGCATTACATATTGTTCATATTTCTCTAAATTATAATAAAATGTATTTTATATAAATATATATAATAAAAATATTATATATATAATATAATGCACAATATTGGCACTGAAATGGGGTAAGAAGTATCTCTAGGTAGCTAACTACAGTCATTTTCCCCTTACTTTGCCTCTGTATTTTTGTTAGGTTTCCACTACTTTTGTAACTTGTGGGAGAAAAACCTAACCCGTGCCCAAAGAGGCCACCTTCACCTCCACCTCCCTGTGTGCGCCTGCTGATCCTCCATCAAGCCGGGAGCATTCCCTGTCCTTGAACCTGAGCTGGCCTGTGACTTGCTGACCAAACAAGGAGGCAGAAGTGATGCTGTGCCAGTTCTAGGCCTAGCACTTCAGGAGACTTCCTTTTGGATGCCAGCCATCACGAAAGAACTCCAACTCTGCTGACGCTGCCATGCTCTGAAGCCCAGGGAGCAGGCCAAGGTGAGTAAGTCACATGGGGAGGCCAGGCAGAGGAGGCCCATGTTTGTGAGGTCGTGTTGGGACTTTCAGCCCAGCCCAGCCCAGCCCAGCCATGACCCCAGGCAGTGCCAGGTACAGCAGAAGAGCCATCCAGCTGAGCCCAGCCACAATGGTGGAAACATGAGAAATAAGAAACTGCCATTGGTTTGGGTCAGTAGGTTCTGGGGTGGTTTGCTATGCAATATTTGACAACTGAAATATACACTTAGCACACACTTGTCCAAGTTCCATCAGCTACATCAGAAGGCCACTAGCCATGGTGGGCCCAATAATGATGATGGACAGATGGAAGGGAGACAGAGAGGTGGGGAAGGGACATAAGGGTGTGTGTATGTGTGAGGTGGTCATGAGCGGGGTCTCTAATATCCAACCAGTTCTGTGCGGTCTAAATACAGCAAGAACTTGTCCTTTGCATCTAACCTAGAACTTGGAAAACTATTATTGCAGATTCAGCACCTGCCTTCAGGCTGAATATTCCTCTCCACCTCAAAAAAAAAAAAGTTTAATTGAAAAATTACATGTCACCAATTAACGAAAATTGAAGGTATGGCCCAGTCCCACCTCTCTGACAAAATTATTTCGACTTTGAGTCTTTCCCAGTCACTCTCTACAGATACACTGTTTATAAAGTTACAGCCACAGGCCAGGCGCAGTGGCTCAAGGCTGGGCGTGGTGACTCATGCCTGTAATCCCAACACTTCGGGAGGCCGAAGTGGGTGGATCACCTGAGGTCAGGAGTCGGAGACCAGCCTGGCCAACATGGCGAAACCCTGTCTCTACTAAAAATACAAAAATTAGCTGGGCGTGGTGGCAGGCACCTGTAATCCCAGCTATTCGAGAGGCTGAGGCAAGAGAATTGCTTGAACCTGGGAGGCGGAGGTTGCAGTGAGCTGAGATTGCGCCATTGCACTCTAGCCTGGTCAACAGAGTGGGACTCCCTCAAAAAATAAAAAAAAAATTAAAAAAAGGCCAGGCGTAGTGGCTCATGCCTGTAATCCTAACACTTTGGGAGGCAGAGGCAAGCAGATAACCTGAGGTCAGGAGTTTGAGACCAGCCTGGCCCACATGGCGAAACCCCATCTCTACTAAAAAATACAAAAATTAGCTGGGCGTGGTGGCAGGCACCTGTAATCCCAGCTATTCGAGAGGCTGAGGCAAGAGAATTGCTTGAACCTGGGAGGCGGAGGTTGCAGTGAGCTGAGATTTTGTCCCACTGCACTCCAGCCTGGGCAACAAAGTGAGACTCCATCTCAAACAAATAAAAATAAAAAATAAATAAAGTTCCAACCACATGATGATAATAACGATGGTAGCAGCAACACCAATAAAACCCACAACACCCGCGTCAACTCTCTACCCACCAGACACTTCTCTTACCTCGCTCCCAACCCTCCCTCCCTCTCCTCTGACCCGGCCACCCAGGCACACAGCAGGCACAGCCCCACCTCAGGGCCTTTGCACCTGCACCCCCTGGTCTACCCTGCCCTCAGGTCAGCAGGGTGCCCTCTTTGCAGAGGCCTCCGCATCTGCAACAGTGGCCTTCCACCTGTCCCCAGGGCCACCCCCACCTGCCCCACTCTTCTCCACCCCTGTGGCATCAACAGAAATTTATTTGGTCTTTGTTCCTTGCACAGAGCTCCTAAAACCCTTGGAATTTCCTGAGTGACAGGAGTGGTTTTGTTATCCACAAGGAGCTTGAGTTTATGCTAATAAGGTGACTCAGGGTAAGGCCCCTAGACAGCCTCAGGACCGGGCTGCTGCCCAGAAAACCTAGCTGATTATACAGGGTGGGAACTCTCAGCATCACCCGCCAACTGACACTGAGAGGAGGGGGCTGCAGACTGTGCTCTATAAAAACTTTCAGTGGGTGCGGTAGCTTGTGCCTATAATCCCAGCACTTTGGGAGGCCAAGGTGGGCAGATTGCTTGAGCCCAGGATTTCAAGACCAGCCTGGGCAACATAGTGAGACTCCTCTACAAAACATTTAAAAAATTAGCTGGGCGTGGGGGCACACACCTGTAGTTCCAGCTACCTGGGAGACTGAGGTGGGGGGATGGCTTGAGCCTGGGAGTTCAAGGCTGCAGTGAGCTGCGATCGCACCACTGCACTCCAGCCTGAGCAACAGAGTGAGACCCTCTCTCAAAAATAACTTCTCCATGTGAGGCCGGGCGCGGTGGCTCATGCCTGTAATCCCAGCACTTTGGGAGGCTGAGGAAGGCAGATCACTTGAGGTCAGGAGTTCGAGATCAGCCTGGCCAACATGGCAAAACCCCACCTCCACTAAAAATACAAAAATTAGCTGGGCATGGTGGTGCCTGTAATCCCAGCGACTCGGGAGGCTGAGGCACAAGAATCGCTTGAACCCAGGAGGCAGAGGTTACAGTGAGCTGAGACTGTGCCACTGCACTCTAGCCTGGGCGACAGAGTGAGACTCCGTGTCAAAAACAACAATAAAACTCCATGAGCTTGAGGAGCCTGTAGATTGGGCAAGCACAGGGAGGTACCAGGAGAGTGTCAGGCCCTGAGAGGGCATGGCAGCTCTGTACCCTACACTCACACCCCTCCCCCCATGAGTCTCTTCCACCTGGCTGGTCCTGAGTTATATCCTTTCTGATAAACCAGTAAACACACGTAAAGTGTTTTCCTGAGTTTTGTGAGCCATTATCAAACCTTAGGAGAGGGTCGTGGGAAACCCCAATTTGTAGCAGGTCAGTCCAGTAGTATGGGAGACCCGCTACTTCCAACTGGTGTGTGATGTTGGGGGCAGTCTGGTGGGAGAGAGCTCTTAACATGTGAGGTCTGTGCGAACTCCAGGTAGCATGAGAACCGAACAGAACTGCAGGACACTGGGCGGGTGTCTGGAGAATCTGAGAATGGGTTGTAGTGTTGGAAAACACCCCGCTACTGCTTCTCACCACACCTTACTGATTTCCTCTGATGGCCTCATCCCCAACACCAAATAGTCAAAGGGACTGGGGACAAGCAGGAATGTCCTGGGCCAGGCTTCCCTGAGCAGGGAAAGAGATGATGCCCAGAAAACTCCATTGGTCCCAAGCCACGCAGCTGGCCAAGGCCACCGGCCTGAGCCCTACCTGCTGATGGCATCGTCCTTCCATGCATCTCCTGCACAACTTCCTAGCCCTGGCTGGGGGACACACCCTGGTGGTCTTCCCATCCTTCCAATCCACTATCCACATGGGAGTCAGAGCAGGCTCACCCACACCTTGACCTGAGCCCCGACACAGAAGGCATGGGGTTTTGCCAGGCAATTCCACAAGCAATGGCTCTGGGCCCATCCCTACACCTGGACTTCTGCCACATCTGCTCTCACCCTACCCAAGCCAGGGATGCCTTTGGCCTCCGCAGGCCCAGGATTGAGAGTCCACCCACCCTTCCTACCACTCCACAGCACGCCACTGGCAACAAACCTTCTGCTACGAAATATTTTTGAAAAGATCTTCACCATCTTGCTTTTGCATGATTTACATACCAGGAACTCACATAATTTGGGATTGGCTGTGATTTCTCAACAAGCATCAAGAACTCCAGAGAAAGCCCTGTGGCCACCATATCACAAAGCGCCCAGGACTTCATGATGAGTGACCCTGACCCTAGGACATTCCCCTAAATCGATGGTAATTTCTGATGGCATGTTTTCTTCTCAGATTTTGAAGCCAATACTTCTTTCCAGAGCCTAAACTATTTGAGGAGTCCCCCAAAAGCTCAGGGCCCCAGGCACGGCTCCACCCACCCCACCTGACCACCAAGGGCAGGCTCTGGCCCCACACAGTACCATGGTAATGCCCAGGCTCCAGACGTCGGACTTGACATTGTAGCCCTTCTGGTTCAGCTCCGGGTTGATCCTCTCAGGCTGCAGAAGGGAACAGTGAGGCGTGAACACCCGCCCCAGGTAAGCTCCGATGGCTAGGCCTTGCCTCCCAATCCCCAAACTGAGTGCTCAGCTTAGCCCACCTGCCCATGTGACAGGGGAGGAAACTGAGGCTAGGAGGGCCTGGGTCATGCTTAGAAGGCCCAACCCTTGCCTCGGGCTGCCCCTACCTGGGAGCAGACCCCTAAGGCCCTCCTGACAATGAGGGCGGGGCATGACCGGCACAGCCCACCAGTATCCTCCGTGGAGGTTGTTCATGCAGCTTATCACCCAACTGGGGCGCTGTGGGGGTCAGTTAACAACAGGGTTCAGAAGGGCTGCCCCTGGGCAGCAAGACACAGGTGGCCCCACTATGGTAGGAAACGCAGTGTGGGGAGGCTCTGCCCGACGGGTAGAGGGCATGGCCGGGGTGGCTGATTTGGGCAGATCTCTCCCCGCCCCATCCTCTCCTGAGCCTGGGGGGCTTGGGGACCACTCACGGCCATGTAGGGCTTGCAGCCGGCATCCATCGTCTTGGCCACAGAGTCCACCAAGTAACCACTGATGCCGAAGTCACACATCTTCACATGGCCCTCCTTGTTGATAAGGACATTGGAGGGCTTCACATCTGCCAGGAAAGGACATGCCTCAGCCACGCCTGTGGAGCATGACTGGAGGCAGGTGCCATGCTCTGCATAGCTGTGTCCCCCTCCCTCACCCAAGACCCCTCCTGTGCCCCCTCCCATGCCCCAGTGGGCAGGTTCCACCAGGGTCCCAAGGGTCGGACCAGGGAACTGAGGCTGCAAGAGGTGTCGGGCTAGCTGACGGTCATACTTGGTCCTCAGGGAATAGCCAGGACGTGCCCAGCCCAGCCAAGCCACTGCAAAGAAGGCAGGACTCCAGGTGCTTTGCTGGGGGTGCCGCGCCTGCCTCCGCCCTCCAGACGTGAGGTGCAGTGAGAGCCTGGCTTGTGTGGGTGCTCCCAGAGGGCAGCAGGATCAATTAAAGCCTGGGAGGCAGGATCTGTGTGTTTGGACATGGAGTCCCCACAGACCAGCATGGGAGACCAGCCTAGCAGGGATTCTCCATGCAAATGCGCACTCGTATCCGCGTGCCCTCCATGGGGATGTGTGTAAAGATGGAAATGCACATAAAAAGGACCAGAAGGTTCCGTGCCAAACGCCAACCACAGTGACCTGGAGGCGGAGGCTGGGATGGGCACCCAGTGGTCAATGGGAACTAAGCCCAATTCATTTTTTGAAAAGCCGTAAATCTGGAAAAATAGACTTGTGCTCAGCAGCAAAAAGGAACAAACCGACACCACACCAGACCCGAGTGGGTCCAGAAACATCAAGCTAGTGAGGCTGATGTTCCAGAAAGGGCGAAACCAGCTCACCATGAGAAAACCAGACTTGTGGCTGCCTTAGGCACATGAGGGATGGCAGAGAAGGGGCCCAAGAGAACACTTTGGGCTGGGGTGAGGGAATTATCCTGCATCTTGGAGGGAGGTGGTTGCATGGGTGTGAACGTGATTATACGTACTCTGTGCTGGAATTTCACGATTTGTAAACTATACGTTAGAACAGAACCCGGTCCACCTTTCTCAGGACAAAGGTAAAACTAGTCCTTGCTTCGAACACCAGCAAACATGAGGGGAGGCAGCTGCAGGGCTGCAGGTGGAAAGCGGCTGGGACCCCATTGGGCACGTCACAACTTATCACCTCTCTGAGCCTCAGTTGCTCATAGGGAGACGTCTACCCGCCTTGGCCTGGGATCCCTCCCACTGGCTGCACCATGCCTGGGTGGCTGCCAGGTACTGACCTCTGTGGATCACCGACAGCTTGCTGTGCAGATGCTCCAGAGCCCGCACGATCTGGTGGTGGGGTGGGGAGGACGGAAGAGACAGGACTCTGTTATTGCTGGTCATGTCAACAACGACAGCAGTAAGACTCCATCCATGTCCACCTGTCTCCTGCTCCCGCTGCACAGGCTAGGCACCTCCTCACCCCAGCCTCCTGCCCTGTCCTGGCATTTGCCTCAGCATCCTAACGATCCCTGTGCAGACACACTCAGCCTCCTGCCTCCTCTCACCCTCCCAGGCTCACCTCCCAGGGAGCCATCATCATCACTGCTTGCCAGGCTCTTCTTGGGTAAAAGCCAGCTCTTGGCAGCCTTCCTGTCCCATCTTCCCTCCCGTGGCAGAGCCAGTATTCTAGCAGCTTGGAGCCATTTCCCTTGGGAAGGCTGGGTCGGGAGCCTGAGGCAGGCATATATTGTAAATGTTTCCAGATGTAGTGAGGATTGAACCAGTGTCACTAGTTCTGTTTTCCTTTTTCCTTTGGCTACTGGGATGCTCAAGCCCAGTGTTGCTGCCCTCCCTCAAGGACTTTTTAGACTCAAAAAGCACACGTTTTGGATGCTAACCTTTCCCTCAACTTAGCTTGCACCTCTGTGAGCTGCCCCGGGGCATTTTCAGTATGATGTTGTTGTAAATACTAAATTCCTTTTTTTTAAAAAAAATGGTCTGGAACTCAAGAGTTGGAATCAATGGCTCAGACACCTGGATCTGCCAAATCTGTGGGGCTCCAGAAGCCCCAGGAGCCGAGGTCTCCTAAGCGTGAAGGCTCTGGTCTGGGGTGGAGGAGAAGGGCCTATGCAGGGCAGCGCCCAGGTTCAGGGGGCACACTGATGCCCAGCTCTGCCCAAGACACCAGCATCTGGCAGGCTCCATGCCTGCTGGAAGGGCTGGGCCTCTGCCTATGCACCTGGGACCCCCAGCGCACCCAGGCCACTCACAGACACAGCAATCTCCCCGAGGATGTCCTCTGGAATTGTCATGTTTTTATCCAGCACCTTCCGGTAGAACTTGTCCAGGGATGTGTCCATGAGCTCCATGCAGATCCACACATCTCCCTGTGGGTGACACCCAGAGCTCAGCCAGGCTGCTGGGCTGCCTGTGTCGGCACCACCTGCACGGCCTGCCCCAGCACCAGCCCCAGCCCCCTCCTCAATGTGTGCCCACCCACTCAGCCACAGTTCACCGGGCTCCCACCCACCCCCCACTTGCCCGCTTCTCCCCACCCTCCACTTGCCCACGTCTCCCCACCCTCCAGCTCTGCCTGCACTGCCAGGTTCGGGTGCCAGCCTCCTCCATCTAATCCCTAATTCCAGGTGTCTCCAGGGAGGAGGGGGATTAGCACAGAGCCTCACTGGGTCCCTCCACCAGAGCCTCAGGATGCACCTGCACCAGCTCCACGGCAAGAGCCGGCCCTGCGGACCGATAGACACCTTCATGCCAGCTGACCCTGGCAGATGGCTCCCTGCCTGCAAGGACCTGCTCCCTCTTCCCCAGTGAACTCCTGAGGACCCTCCTGACAGGAAAGTTAGGAGATGCGCAGGGGGCACCCGCAGGCTGCAGGGGCCCCATTGGCTAGGAGCTGGCACAGGGGATGCTGAGCTCTTCATGAGTGAAGAGTGAGGCCAGGTGAGGCAGCCCTGACCTTGCCCGATTGCTGGACTCAGATGCCCTGACCTTGCCACAGCTCCTTGAGGGGCAAGCGACCAGTATGAGCCCAGCATCGCCCAGGCTCCCAGCCTCCCTGCTCATCCACACCCACCCGGCTTGGCGGAAGGCAGCTCCACCCTTCCAGCCTCAGTCACTCCCTCAGCACACATCCCATGCTGCCCACAAACCTAGAACCCAGATCTCATATCTCCACGGCCACTGCCTGCTCAGGCACCCCACGCCCCGTATGCCATGGGGATGCGAATGGTCACACAGGCAGAACTGAGTGCAGCCGAATGCCAGGCCCCAGGCCATGTCATTTAACTTCCGTGTCAACTTTAGGAGGTACCCACAACCACCAGCCTCATTTGACAGACAAGGAAACCGAGGCACCGAGCAGGACAGGAACAGCCAGGAGGTGGGGGAGCCCGGTGGTCTGGCAGGGTTGGTGCCTCTGGGAGCCGTGCTGGCCCCAGGTGGTTCCCCATGTCCCCAGCACCTGGCACACTGGAGGGACTGAGTGACAGTGGGTTGCAGGCGACTGATGGGTGGGAGGTGGAGCTCCCCAGCTGTACCATGCGAGGACACACCTCTCTGAACAGTGCCCCGTAGAAGGTGACAGTGTAGAAGCAGTCGACCGTGCGCATGTTGATGTCCAGGTCCATGAGCAGCCGCTTCTGCTCCTGTGAGTTCACAGTGGCTCGGATCCGCTGCAGGGAAGGACTGCCGTTCAGAGGTTGCTGTGGCAGAGGCCAACACCCCCACTCATGACAGGAGGGCCAGGAGCTCAGAGGCCACTGCCTAGTGTGCCCCAAAAAGCCTGGGCTCGGTACTGGTCACTGAGAGGGACAGGCAGGGCCCCATGGCAGGGCTCAGCTCGCCTCCTCCAGGGAGCCCTCCCAGGTGCCTCCAGGCCCTGCTCACCTTCACGGCCATGATGGTGCCGCTCTGGGCGTGCCGCACCTTCTCCACCACCCCATAGGCTCCACGGCCCAGTTCCGAGATGGTCACCAAGTCATCAGCCTCCACCTCAAAGTTCTTGAGGGATGGAAAAGAGAGAGGGTCAGCGGCCACCCAGCTGAAAGCCAGTCCTCACCCCTCACCCAGTGGAGAGAGCTAGGCAGCATGAAGAGGACCAGCTGGTTAGATCTGGGCTCAAACCTCATACCCACCACTCCCTGCTGTGTGACCCTCAGGAAGTCACTTAACCTCTCTGAGCCTCACATTGCCCTCTATAAAATAGGCACAGTGCCAACACCCCAAGGTTGCTCTGGAGTGTGACTAAGACACCCATGAAATGCCCCGCCAGCAGGCAGAGACAGGGTCCCTCTTTCCCCAACCCCACTCAGCTGATTGGAATGAGTCAGTCATTCAAAAACTGTTTACCAAGCACCCACAATGTGTTTTAGGCACTGGGGACACAGTGACAACAAAACAAGTCTTGCCTTCACAGCTGTGTCCCTCTCTTGGGAGGGACACAAAAAGGAACAAGCAAGTAGATGAACAGGACAGCAGGTGGTGAGTGTCAGGGGGTGCGACAGCCTGGAGGGGGCATCGTCAAGGACAGGCCTAGGAAGTGGGGTTTCTTTTATTTGTTTTAGACAGAGTGTCACTCTTGTCACCCAGGCTGGAGTACAATGGGGTGATCTCGGCTCATGGCAACCTCCACCTCCTGGGTTCAAGCTGTCTCAGCCTCCTGAATAGCTGGGATTACAGGCGCCTGCCACCACACTGGAGTAATTTTTGTATTTTAGTAGAGATAGGGTTTCAGCATGTTAGCTAGGCTGGTCTTGATCTCCTGACCTCAGGTGATCTGCCCGCCTTGGCCTCCCAAAGTGCTTGGATTACAGGTGTGAGCCACCGCGCCCAGCTCTTTTTTTTTTTTTTTTTTTTTGAAACGGGGTCTCTCTCTGTCACCCAGGCTGAAGGGTAGTGGCATGATCATGGCTCACTGCAACCTCCACCTCCTGGGCTCAAGCGATCCTCCCACCTCAGCCTATCAAGTAGCCAGGACCACAGGCATGCACCACCACACTGACCAATTCTTTGTATTTTTGTACAGACAGGGTTTCGCCACGTTGCCCAGGCCTGGTCCCAAGTTCCTGAGCTCAAGTGATCCTCCTCCTGCCTCAGCCTCCCAAAGTGCTGGGATTATAGGTGTCAGTCACTGCACCTGGCCTGGGAGTAGGGTTTCTATTGGGAGGACCTGGGCATAACACATAATTCTATTGGGAATCCCTGAGACAGGATTCTCAATGGCTAGTGCCCTTCCGAGGCTTCTGGAAGCAGAAAATGCAGGTTTCCCAGGTGCTGGCCTGAGGGAATGATCCAGCAGGTCCAGGGAGGCCTCGGAGCCTGCACATTCAGTACTCTCTGCTAGGGCTAGGGATGAGGTGCAGGGCCGTGCTCTCAGCTCAGAAACCTTCCTACCAGCTCTGAGCTCGCCAAGCTCCAGACAGGCAGCCAATGGTCCTCATTCCCTCCAGCAGGGTCAAAGAGTGGGTGGCCCAGGGCCACACAGCCAGCAGCGCAGGACAACACTCTTCTCCACAGCCTGACCCTCTCTAACCCCTCAGTCACCTCCCCGCATAGTGACCCTGCAGGGTCAGCTCTACCCGCTCATCAGGTGAAGTGAGAGACCCTGCAGGGGTGGCGGCTGGCACCTACTCTGTCTCCAATGGTGATGAAGGTCCGGGAGTCCAGGTTCCGGGGGGGTCTGTGGAGAAAGAAGACCCCATGAGTTTCAGAGAGAACCACACCCTTCCTCCAAGAGCAGCAGCAGAGGGGCCAGTGTGGGGCCTGGCGTGGGAACCAGGTATATCCTGCCCCGGAGGCACCTCCTCGGACCACCTCCTCTCCTTGGCTGCTGAGCATCTACATGAGCTGGGCACGGCCTCATCGAGCCTCCGAGACGGGGTGAGAAGTGAGCAGAGCAGAGCAGAGCAGATGGTGCTGCATGAACCCCAGCAGCCATCACCTAGCTGGACCCACAGCAGGTGCTGCCCGGGACAGGACGAGGCAAAGCAGAGCTGGCCCCACCTGCCTCTCACTCCTTCCACTGAGCCCTGTTCGGGAAGCCTCTCCAGGGTGAGCCAGGGAGAAACTGAGGCAGACTCACGTGGGGTTAGGCGCGGGTGGCTTGGACATGCAGGATATCCGTAGCTCCTTCTTCCTCTTGGATTTTCCTAGAATGGAGAGAAGGTGAGGCTTCTGGCCTATCCCTCAGTCATCAATGTCCCCTGCACTCCTCTTGGGCTGGGCAAAGATGGAGACAGGGATGACTCAGGCCCTGGCCCACAAGGATGCCAGCCTCTGCGATCACCTTTGCCGGGAGCCCCCTCTCTCCAAGCCAGACCGTGAGGCCTTCAAAGGGAGGAAGGAGGCCCACCAGCCCTGCAGGGGAACAGAGCAGGACAGACCCAGGCCTAGAGGCTGGAGCCCAGGGCCTTATCTCAGCGCTGCCCACTGGGCACATCTTGAGTACCTCCCTGGGCCTCAGTTTCCCCATCTGTGAGGTGTCCTCACTGCCCTGCCTGACTAGCCAACGGGACGTGGGGTGAGAGGGGCCCAGCAGGGGTCCAGCCAGCGCCTGCAGCAGCCACTGTGCAGGGGCCTCATGGCCGCAGGTAGCAGGATGAGGCTCACACTACCTCCAAGATGAGGAAGGCCAGGCCCCCAGAGAGGGCAACAGGCGGTGGAGCAAGCGGGGACTCCAGCCCAGGCTGCCCTCCAGGCTAGCTCTGCCTGGCCCTGCTCACCCTGGAGGCCAATACCTAATGCCCGTTTCTCTCCCTCCCCTGAAAAGTGCTGGCTCTCTCCCCTCCCCTGCACTGGGCAGACCACAGTCCTGGGGCAGTACCTTCCTCACTCCACCCCTGGGGGCAGGTGAGAGGCCCCAGTGTCCACACCTCTCAGGCTGGCTGCAGGAGCATGGCCAGGTGCACAGCACTCAGCTGGTACTAACAGAGGGTCAGCATTTCTGGGGCTCCAGGCACAGTGGGGCTGGCATGCAGAGGGAGCTCCCTGTAGTCAGGGCTGCCCTTTGAAGAAGGCATAGCCGCCATTCCACAGGCAGGAGAAGCAAGGATCAGAGATGGCAGGGTCACCTGGCGCTCTGGCACCATCAGGCAGCAGGGCTGGGAGTGACACAGCTCCCCGAGACCACCCAGTACAGACATGCTGGCCACATTCCTGCCCTTGCGGGAGCTTCTGCCCCATTTCCCAAGCATGGTCCTGCCACACCTTGGCCCTCACCCACCACCTCCCACTCACTGCTGCTGGCTCAGCCTGGCTGCTGGCACTGGGGCCTGGAAACTGCCCCTGGCCCTGCTGCCACCTGCCAAGAAGACCCCAGTCTCTGAAGCCGCCTCCAAGTCAGGTTCAGATCCAGCCTTGGCCACAGTGCAACGCAGACTTGTGGCCCCATCTGAGAGCCACGCACTGGGGCCCAGTAGCCAACCCAGCCCGGACAGAGGGCAAAGGGTGGTTACCGCCACTAGGAAGACAAGGCCAGAACAACAGGAAACAGAATAGCCTTGGCGGGGACAGGGGTCCCAGGGTCCATCCTGGGGCAGGTGGGCAGAGTGCAGGGGCCAGGCAAGCAGATACCTGCAGCCTTTCCACCAAAGCCGCCCCGGGGACCCCGCTGCCAGGCCCCAGAGGCTTCAGGAAACAACGGCATCCACAGAGAGAGGCAGCAGCAGCAGCTGCCGCCACACGCACTGGGTGCCTGCCTGCTAACCGCTCACCCGGTGAATCAATTGCCTAGTCACTACTCCTGTGTGAGGCTTTTTAACTCATTTTAAGATGCAGCAACACCCTGGCTGTCCGGGACTGCACGGGTCTCACGGCGAGTCTGTCAGAGCCACAGCACTGGCCCCAGGCAGGGCCCTTCTCATCTGTGACTCCAGATGCTCCCACAGCCCCACAGGGAGGGGCTCTCAACCTCACTTTACCTGGCGAACAGGCTCAGAGAGGTGAAGCCACTTGCCCCAGGCTGCGCAGCAAGTCAGGGTTCTGGCTACAGTCCCTCCTGAGTTTGTTGACTTGGAGACCCCCACAGGCCAGGCCACGGCTCACAGCACCCCTGCCACAGGGAGCCCTCCCTGAGGCTGAAGGACGGGTCCAAGTCTCATGCTCAACAAGAAACGGCAACAAAGTCTAGAGACGCAGAGGCTCAGCACACTCTCACAGGAGAAACCATGGCACACAGGGCCAGCAGCTCCCGAGACCACTTCTATCCTGCCTCTGGGCCAAAGGCTCTGAACTTCAGGGGCTCTGGGCTTGGCATAGGGCAGCCATAGTAAACCCCAGCTCTGCGACCCTGGCGTGGTGCCCTCCTCTGTACCTTGGGTTCCTCATGTACAAAACAGCTCGAGGCAGAAATGCCACCCACCTGCCCCGCACGGTGCTGCAGGACGAAGCAAAACCACGTCTGCAAGGCGCTCAGCACAGGGTTCACTGCGTAGATGGGGACCTGTTGTGGCCCATAAATGGTCACCATGGATATGACCAGCCTCTCTGCAGAGGTGAAAAACAAAACAAAACAAAACGAAACTGCCCTAAGTAATGAGAATTACAGATAGCTTTTATTCCTGATGTCAGGCTTTTTGTAATCAGAATATAAAATATTTTCTGTTAAAAACGAAAGCTCTGCACAGAGACCCTGGGCCTTGACCTTGCCCCAGCCCCTTGCAGTCCCATCCTTTTCCTGTGGGGTCCACGCCACACCCTCCCTGCACTCTCTCTGCTCTTGGTCCCTCTGGCCCAGCCTGCCACCCACCTCACGCCCTGGGATTTGGGGATGTTGTATCATGTGCCTCCCCTTTCACCAAGCCTCAGTTTCCCCACCTGTCAAGGGCACTTGCACATATGGGCTGGATGGGTGGGGACCACGCTCCTCACAGTCCTGGGGGTATATGGCCTGGCCTCTGCATCCACCTGTCTGTTGGGGACACCGGACTTGCATCAGGAGGGCCGCAGGCTCCGCAGGGAAGCCACCCAGCTGTCAGACGGAGTGGGTGAGGCCGTCATGGAGACAGCCCAGAAACAGGCCTCAGGCTGCCACAGACGTCAGAGCTGGGCCCAGATGGCCAGGCAGCCCAGGGCTGCCCAGGTGCAGCCGTTGTGGCGACCGTCACCACAACAAACAGAGGCTCTCGGCGGCCAGTGGCAACGCATGACAAGCCCGCCTGTCCCGGTTCCCGGCACGGGGTGTCCTGGGGTGTCCTGGGATGTCCTCCGCATACTCTAGCCTCAAAGCAGCCCCCAGGCAGGGGTGAGGAAACGGAAACTGACCAGAATTCAGCCACTGACCTGAGGCTACACCACAGGTAAAGAGAGGTGCCCCCAGACTAGGACACAACTCTCACTGGCCGTGGCAGCTCTGCCCTATCTCCTCCCACTCACCCCCCACTAGAGACCCGACCCTTGAGTGAGCCCTTCTCTGAACGAGACACCTGCTTTCCCATCGCAGGGCCTTCGCACATGCCCTTCCCTCTGCCTGAAATGCTCTTCCCTGCAACTGTCCCAGCTGCCACATGGTCTTGCCTTTCACCGGTTCGGAGAGGCTGCCTGACCGCTCAGGCCCCAGTGACCGGCTGTCCCTGTGGCCTGCTGGTTTCTCTGCTGTGGAGTCCCGTAGGCGGCCGTTCTGCGTTACCATCTCAGCCAGCCAGTCTGCAGATCACCTGCGAACAAACGCTCTGGAGCCAAGGCCTGGGCTCAACTGCAACCCTGCCCCTTCCCTGCTGTGTGCCCTCAGGCAAGTGGCTTCACCTCTCTGGACATATGTGAAGCGGAGACTACAGACCAACCTCCCGGGGTTATCAGCGCCATGCCGTAGCAACGCCTGGCGCGTGGAGATTAGATGGGGCCATCTGGGAGTGCACAGCTCCGGAGATAACACCACCCTCAGCCCCAGACCATCCCTGTCCACCCTCTCAGTGACTCCACGAGGGAGCAGGGGAGGTTCACGTATCTGTTGTACCAAGCATGCGGGAGAAGAGGCGACTCAGAGAGGCCACACGGTGGGCATCTGGTGAGGAGTGGCCATAAAGGCAGGTCTGCCCGGCTCCAACATCCAAACAGCAACAGCCTGAGGGCAGGGCCCCCACTTCGGCTGCTCTTTCCATCCCGGGCCTGGGGAGACTGAGCTGTGTGGCCCTCTAACGGTCACCCACAGGGGCAAGGTGACAACCCCTCCTCACAGCCTCTGCTCTGCCTCCACTCATAAAGGCAGCCCCCACGCCGCACCACACTGCGCCGTGCCACACCACGCCACACCACGCCACACCACGCCACACCACGCCACACCACGCCACACCACGCCGCGCCACGTGAAGGAGCATCACCAGGTTTCCAACAACAGAAGTAACCCCTGCTCCTAGTTCACTGCCCTCACCTGACTTCTGGATGTTCCAGGAGGTCCCTGTTCCACTGTAGAAGTTCTGGGCCCGCCAGGTAAGGAGCCACAGGGGCTGGGAGATGTGAACAGCAAGAGGCGCCGCCATGCCCCAGGCCACCTCTATTCCACAGGGTCCCTCAGAGGGACAGCAACGAAGCCAGCCCACTCCGTGGCACGGGGAAACTGAGGCCCTGAGAAATGGGCGCAGGCTTTTGCGTGGGCAGATGTACCTCGATAGTGAATGCGTTTGGCTGCGATCTGCCAGACACTGGCCCCTGTCCCCAGGACAGGTGCCATCAGAAGTCCTGAGGCGCTGCATGCGCCACTGACAAGCACCTGCGGGCAGTAGGGGGTGGCCATGCACCTTCAGGCAGGGCCCCTTGCCCTGAGGTCCTGGGGCCCCTGTCTCAGGCTCTGGAGAGGATGCAGGACAAGGGGAAGGTCCTCCCATCTACCCAAGCGGCTGCTCCATGCCAGGCCCAGGCTGTCCCATCCGGCCTCACACACGGCCACTGCAGGCCCTACCTTCTCTATCCTCACCTCGTAGGAGTGCAGCAGGCTAGGGTGAGGAGGAGTGACCAAGGCTCTGCCCTCCACAGCCCTGCCCTGCCTCTGCCTGGCTGTGCGAGGCCACCTGGTCAGGGCCTGGCCTCTAGGGCCTCACACCCTCCCCACCTCTCCACCCTACGGGGACTTCTTCACCTGCAGAGCACTGGAGACCCCCAGCCTACCTACCTGGCAGTGCCCCCTCCCCGGTGATGCTCCGGACTGGTACGGCTCGGGAGCACCCCTAACGTCCAGTGGGAGGCCAGGTGCTAAGCTGCACAGGGGCACCCATGGCTGCCAGAGGGTCCTCCTGCCCAGTGCCCACAGCCCAGCAGAGACAACCATGGCCCGCCTGCAACATGGAACCACTTGTGATTTGGAGGAAAGGACATAGGGAAGGGCCAGAGGCGTGGGCTTCGCTGAGGAGAGAAGGAGGCAACACGGGAGGACCCTGGGCAGAGTGGCCTGGGCACAAGGCGTGTGAAAGACAGGGGGCCCACAGCAGGTGGCTGCGGGCATCAGGGTACGGCCTGGCCTCCCATGGCCAGACCTCACCAGTCTGGGTCCTCTATGCCCCATGACCATCAAAATGTCCATTCTTCTGCACCCAGAAATTCCACACTGAGCGGCTCACCCCCACACTACAACACCCACTAACATTTAGTGAGCACCTACTATGCTCCAGGCCTGTGCAAATTACTTTCATTACATCTCATTTGATCCTCTCAGCAACCCCTTGAGGCAGGTACTAATGTGATCTCCATGCAGCAGATGGGGAAACTGAGGCCCAGGGTTTATAGAATCAAAAGGCTGGCACATGGAATTGGGGAGGATCCTGCAGGTCCTCAGCAGGATGTGAGGAGTGGCCTCCCAGGGACAGGAAGAGCCAGGAGCAGCAGGAGGACAGCAGTGTGAGAAAGAAAATGCTGGTCAGACCAGGCGAGGTGGCTCAAGCCTGTAATCCCAGCACTTTGGGAGGCCAAGGCAGGAGGATCACTTGAAGTCAGGAGTTTGAGAACAGCCTGGCCAACATGGTGAAACCCTGTCTCTACTAAAAATACAAAAATTAGCCAGGCGTGATAGCGCAGCACATGCCTGTAATCCCAGCACTTTGGGAGGCCGGAGTAGGTGGATTACTTGAGCTCAGGAGTTCAATACTAGCTTGGGCAACATGACAAAAATCCCGTCTCTACAAAAAATAAAACAAAACAAAAATGTAGTGGGTGTGGCGGCGCGTGCCTGCAGTCCCAGTTACCTGGGAGGCTGAGGTGAGAGGATCGTCTGAGCTGCAGTGAGCCATGACTGTGCCACTGGGCAACACAGTGAGACCCTGTCTCAAAAAAAAAAAAAAAAAGGAAAGAAAATGCTGGTCTCTGCACAGAGTATTCCGAGGAGAAACAAGAGACTGTCTTTTTGTCCCTTTGAGATTCCTGCCCTGTGCGATAAAGGTTACTCAAGTGCAGGCAATTTAAAGAAAAGAAGAAACAAAGAGACCTGCTTTAAGCCAACCCCAGTGCCCTGCTCTGTCTGAGGGGGCAGCCAGGCTCACTGAGCACAGTAGAGCCCCAGCAGCAGGCTGCTCGGGCCAGACGGTGCCTCAGAGACTGTCCAGTGCAGACGCTGACACCAGGGACCCTGGGACACGCCTGAGGTAAAGCACCAGTGCAGCAGCAGAGAGGTCCCCAGCCTGGGCCCCAGCTCCTGCCTTCCCCACACCTCAGCGGAGCAACCATCACAGCGTCGGCCCGTGCCGGCCTCGGAGCCAGCCGCTCTCCCTCTCTGTGCACACCTCGGTTTCCTCCCTTGATGTTCCACGAACCGGTGAAGGGGCCACGACCTCTGGGAAAGGATGATCAAGGGTCAGGAGTTGTAAAGATAAAGCCATGCTCCCAGGACAGTCCTTCGTGACCTTGAGCAGGTGACCGTCCCACCAGGCCTCAGTTTACTCACTCCTAAGATGGGGTGATGATAACACACCCAGGTTGCTGGGTAGCCACAAAGACTAAACAAGTCCATGGAACGGGCACGGTGGCTTACGCCTGTAATCCCAGCACTTTGGGAGGCCAAGATAGGCGGATCACAAGGTCAGGAGATCGAGACCATCCTGGTTAACATGGTGAAACCCCGTCTCTACTAAAAATACAAAAAAATGGCCGGGCGCGGTGGCTCAAGCCTGTAATCCCAGCACTTTGGGAGGCCGAGGCGGGTGGATCACGAGGTCAGGAGATCGA